GTTTAGGGTTTAGAGTTTTAGGATTTCGGGTTTAGCATTAGCTTCACAAGGATAAGGGAAGGCTCACAGTGATCTTTAGGAAAGCCGAAGGTCAGCTGCCACGGTCTTATTTCGACCTTTTGCATATGGTTTTTTTTGGGGGGATGTATGGGAAAGTCAGGTGCGTTCCTTTTTCATGGTAATTAAACCCTAAACCCCCAAAACCTCACTAAACCCTAAACCCTAAACCCTAGTTTAAACTGCTTAGGCTTTTAAGTTCCAAGAACAGCCCAGGAACAGGCGCACGAAGGCCTGTGAGTAGTACTCGAAGTCCTTCACGGCCCGGGCCTTTCGTGGTTTGAGCGCGCTTTCTGTTGGTTGGTGTGTTGGGCTTAGGGTTTAGGGTTTAAGGTTTAGGGTTTAGGGTTAGTTTAGGGTTTAGGGTTTAGGGTTGGTGTGACGGGTGTGTTGGGTGTTATTGTTGGTGTTTTTGTTTTTGGAGTTTTGGCAATGGTAGTTTAGGGTGGCATACTGTACTTAAACACTTAAGAGCCCTCAAGACAGCAGCAGACCTTCAATTACAAACGCAGCCCTGATAGGATTGAAAGTACATTCCTAGTTGTGGGAAGGGGTCTCATTTCGTTGCCCTTGAAGTGGCCATTATGGTAACCTGATTCAGGAAACCATAATCCAAACCTTAAACTCTTTGAACTCCAAACCCTAAACCCCCAAACCTCAAACCCTTAACCCTAAACCCTTCACCCCCCCAACATATCCCAAGCTCTCCCCGTGATGGTCCGTTCCAAACCGCGAGCCGCAACCCTGCAGCCCAAGCCTGTCCCTTAAACTCGAAAGGCCCTGAACCCTAAACCCTAAACCCCTGAACCCTGAACCCCAAGGCCCTGAACCCTACCTAAACCCTAAACCCCTGAACCCTGAACCCCAAGGCCCTGAACCCTACCTAAACCCTAAACCCCAAAACCCTGAACCCCAAGGCCCTGAACCCTAAACCCCTAAACCCCTAAACCCGAAGGCCCTGAACCCTAAACCCCAAGGCCCTGAACCCCAACCTCCTAATCAACAGCTTAGCTCTCCGCCTGATGGTCCGTGAGCTTTGGCCGATCGTCGGCATAGCTTCCCCAGTGGATCATCCGCGGCTCCTTACCAGCCTGGGGGTGATTCGTAAGATTTAGGCACCCTAAACCCTAAACCCTAAACCCTAAACCCTAAACCCTAAACCCTAAACCCTAAGCGTTCGCGGCTGTAGGGGGTTCTTAAGCTTTGGGCTTTGGTGGGATTTGTGAGTCGCAGTGGCGCTAGAGTTTGGTATGCTTTGTAGGGTTTAGGGTTTAGGGTTTAGGGTTTAGGGTTTAGGGTTTAGGGTTTAGGGTTTAGGGTTTAGGGTTTAGGGTTTAGGGCCTCAATCCATACTTGATGCAGGCTACGCATAGGCCCCAGAGTCGTTCCTTTTGGTGGCTTACAATTAGGATCCTATTAGGCCTATGGGTAGGGCCTTCAGGCCGTTTAGGACAGTTTAGGATTGTTGGGTTGGGTGGTTCAGTTTCTCATGACCGGATTACCCTGAACCCAAAATGCTAAACCCCTAACGCTAAACCCCTAAACCTCTAAACCCTGAACTACCGCTAAACCCTCAAACCCTAAACCCCTAAATCCCAAACCCCTAAACCCTAAACCCTAAACCCTAAACCCTAAACCCTAAACCCTAAACCTCCAAACCCGAAGCCCCTAAACCCCTAAAAATCCCAAACTGGTTCTGCGGTTTTTGCTGGCCTCCAGCATCTTGCTCCGGATTACCCTAAACCGTAAAACCCTAAACCCTAAATCCCAAACCCTTTTAAATCCTAAACCCCTAAACTGGTTTTTGGGCCTCCAGCATCCTAAATCCCTAAACCCTAAACCCTAAACCCTAAACCCTAAACCCTAAACCCTAAACCCTAAACCCTAGCCTCCAGCATCTTGCTGGCCACCAGCTCCACGATCTCCATGGGCAGCTCGTTGAACTTCGCATCCGAAAGCGCCTCTGGGCTTTGAAGTAACCAGGCAGAAAAAAGTATAGACGTTTATCTCATAATGGCTTCTTTAAGGAACAGGTCCCCCAAAAAAAGCATTAAAGTAGGGTACTCCAAAGCCCAGGCCTCGTAGTAGGAAAGGTCTTTCATCTCTTCCGGCTCTTCCTCCAGGGTGAAACTTGCCCAGCAGGTTGCGGTTTGGGGTTTGGGTTTCAGGAGTGAAGGGAGCACAAGAGCTTGAAAGTAGGTGTGACTACCCTTATGATGAGGAAAAGCCTAGAGCACTCCCAGAGAACAAAAACCCCTTAAACAAGGAATATACCTTAAAATATGGGGCCGTAATATTATGATTTAAGGGTATACCCTAAACCCTAAACCCTAAACCCTAAACCCTAAACCCTAAACCCTAAACCCTAAACCCTATATTCCTTAACAAAGGGGGTATTGGGCTCTCTGGGCTCTTATGGCTCACCATGCGCTTTCAACCAAGGCTTATCAAACCGACGACCGGGAGCCCCAAAACTGGGTTTAGGGTTTGGGGTTTAGGGTTTAGGGTTTAGGGTTTAGGGTTTAGGGTTTAGGGCTCTCCGCACCCCGGGGCCCCGAGTCACTTCCTTCAGCTCGACGCACTTCAGATCAAAAAATGTGGGGGGATAGTATGATCTGATAAAAAGTACACAGGACGGACAAGCTGCTTCTGGTACTTCTGTTATAGTGTGCCGGGAATTCGGAACACTTATTTGAGCAAGATTTTCAAACAATCTTGCAATCTTGCGCCAATTGCCCCACTCGGGGCGGGGAGCAAGCTTGCTGAAAAACTTGCTGTCCCTCCCACGTGGGATAAGTGGGGCAACTGGGGCAAGATTGCAAGATTGCTCCGAAAAAACTGTTCTAAACTCCCGACATAGTGTACTGTTACCATTATTTCAGACCTCTGCAGTGTAAACGCAAAAAGCCGCACGAACCACAGTAGTAGTATTTGTAGTAGTAGTAGTAGTAGTAGTAGTAGTAGTAGTAGTAGTAGTCGTCATGTAGTAGCTGCAATTGTAATCGCCATAGTGGGCGCCGGGCCCCTCCTTGGCTTTCTTGGGCATCATCGACACCAGTGGGATGTAGGCGCCCAGCGCAAAGAGGGAGATCACCTTTGTTCAGCTTTAAACCCCTTTACCCCCTAAACCTCTAAACTCTAAACCATCCCTAAACCCTTAAAGCCCCCTACCTAAACCGTACACCCCAAAACCCTAAACCCTAAGCCCAAAACCCTAAACCCTAAAAACCCTAAGCCCCGAGCTCTGAACCCTACACTGGCCCTACTTGGAGGGTCGGGGGACCTAGTAAGTAGTCATTTTCTAGACTTACAAAGTACCATAACCCCAATTAGGATCAGTTGTAAGGTACTTGTGAGTCTACTTATTACCGGCTTACTAAGTCCCCCACCCTAAACCCTAAAAACCCTAAAAAACCCTGAAAACCCTAGAAACCCTAAAAACCCTAAAAACCCTAAGCCCCAAAAACCCTAAGCCCAAAGCTCTGAACCCTACACTGGCCCTAGGCCAAAAGGAAAGCCCAAGTCACGGAGGTGCAGACTGTATAAGCTCCTGAACCACTGAATTCTAAAGAACCTGAAACCCTAAACCCTAAACCCTAAACCCTAAACCCTAAAGGCCCAAGTCACGGAGGTGCAGACCAACATCTCCTGGCCCCTCACGTTGCCCACCTGGGAAGCAGTGGCCCTAAACCCTAAGCCCTAAACCTGGGTTTGGGGCTTAGGGGTTTTTAGGGCTTTTGGGGCTTTTGGGGCTTTTGGGGTTTTAGGGCTTTTGGGGCTTTTGGGGCTTTTGGGGCTTAGGGTCTAGGGTTTAGGGTTTAGAGTTTTAGGTGGCTTTGTATGGGTTTGGGGTTTACGGTTTTTGGGCTTCTCTGTACTCTCACGGGTCTAGCAGAAACATAACAAAGACTCATATAGAGGCCTGAACACTTACCACTGCTGTTGTGGGGGTCCCTTATTATCAGTGTAGTATAATGGGCCCGAAAACCCTATTCTAAGCATTAAAGCCCCTATGTTATTTCCGGCAGAAGCAATCATCTTCACAACCGGTAATTGGATGACAAGCAAAGATACCGAGACCAAGAAGGACACGAGACAGCGGCCTCGTCGTACACTGTTGCAAAGACCAAAGGCGCGATGGCCATGGCGATGTTGGAGCAAGCCTCACGGCTCATGAGACCCTGACATTAAAACGCCCAAACACCTAGTACAGGGCCTGACTGGTAATAGCTTAGTAGCACTCCCTGAAAGTCCCTATGAGCGTATACGTTCATGTACTCAAAGGGAGTTTGGGGCTTCGGGGCTTCGGTATGGGTCTCGCACTTCAGAGTGGCTGAGCTTGGATGAGTAAGTGCGAAGAATGCGGGTGCGTGCTCCTAAAGCACGCTTTCGTTTGGCACACCCCTACGCCCCAAACCCCACATTCATCAATTTTTCCTAGGCCTGGGTGCTTTACAAATAAGACGAACCATACCAAACCCGAAACCCCTGAACCTTAAAGCCGCAAACCCCGAAAACCCTGAACCCCTAACCCCTAAACTCCTAAACCCCTAAACTCAGCTTTGTGAACTTCGGAACAGCCCAAAGCCGAGGAGGCCTCATTGATGCCGTTCCAGTGACCCAGCTGTGCCTGGCAGGGGGGCTGACGATGCTTAGTAGCCCAACTACACGTCTCCAACCGAAATCCAAAAGCTTTATAGATCATTTCGTGTTAAGCTTAGCAGGCTTGTAAACTCTAGACTCTAGAGCAAGAAAGTTGCTTTGCTTGGCTTGAATTGTGCTAAGAAGCCTTACAACAGAGGTTTATCTCACAACAGAACTAAGCTTTGGGGTCTGCGGTCCGGGGTTTGGGGCGCTGAACTTTGAACTTAGGCTGTGGAGCTTATGTTTTGGGATTTCAGGAAAAGGGCTTCAATTCCTGAGGTTGCGTGGTTTCGGGATGAAGTTGGGGCTTTAGCCTAACAACTCCAAGCTTCAGAGCCCAAACGCTGAAACCGTGAAACGCTGACCTTAAAGACTCTAAACCATAAAACTCTGAAACCTCAATCTGAAACCCATCAAATGGACAGTGGACACGCATGCTTTGGAGCCCATTCATTTCTTTATAGGATCTAGGGTTCTACATAAGGGCTCTAAGGTTGCATATTAATGCAATTTTTCGCGAAAGCTGTCATCAGAGCCTGGGTTTAGGGCTTACAGTCTTTGCTGCTACAGATCTGCAGATATCTGGGACGGTTTCTTGGAACTTAATGCAGTGCACCATACAGAACCCTCATAGAACCCCTACAGAATCTTTATCGGTAAAATAGGGGCCGAAAAGATTCAACGATACTATTTTGGGGGGTTCCTTACTATGATTATGGTATGATATACCCCCAAACCCGATTCTAGTTATCATGGGCCCCCATACAACCTTCCCCCAACAAAAACACCGCTGCGAAGAAGAGCCTTGGGCGCGATCTCCGTGATGATCAGCCCGGATGCGAGGGTGGACAGGAAGCCAAAGAGCTTGCCGGTGTACCAAACCGCCAAGAACCTTTGGACTTGGAGTAATTTAGGGTTTAGGGTTTCGGGTTTAGGGTTTAGGCACCTTCATGATTTTCGTGGCAGTCTACTTCATCTGGCTTAGAAGGAGCCCTCAGGTATTCTAGTGGTACTTTTTGGTCAGGTTTCTAGCTATGGCTTGGGCTTGGAGGATTTTGGGTTTGAGCTTTGCCTGGCTTAAATAAAGGCTTCGCCTTCAGATTCCTCCTGACGAAGGCTGTGTGGAGTCTCTGAGCAGGGGGTTGCTGCAGCACTCCCGCAAGTGGCTGGGATTCGGCTTGGAAGTTTAAGATTGAAAAACTAACCCTCAGGGGATCAAGGTTTGAGCAAAAAGGGTTAAGACCCTACCAAAGCACTCCACATGTGAGATGAAGGTAAGTGAAGACATCCCAAGCAAGAGTTCTAACACGAGGGATCTTCGATCGTACCTCCAAACAGCCCTCTAAAGCCGTCTGAGATTTGGGGCCACAGTCTACTCCCTAAACCCAAAGGGTCCAAGTACTAATCTGGTAGCTACTGCATAGGTATTTGGGCCCCCAAAGTATATACTACCCATAGGCCCCATAGTAGTTCCTTATAGGATTCTATATACGAACCCCAAAAAGGAACTACTTTAGGGCCTATGGGTATACTATCACTTGGACCCTTTGCCAAAAGGATATCAGGAGGCTTCCCGAAGGGCATCAGCGCGAGGTCTGAGCCCCAAGGCTCCGAAACCCAGTACTCAAGAAACCAATATCAAGTGGTCGCCCACAGGATTCAGTGTCTATTCCCTACTCTGCGGTTTAAGGTTTAAGGTTTAGGGTTCAGGGTTTATGGTTGAAGAAGGTTGAGGGTTGAGGGTTTAGGCTTGAAGGGGTTTGGGGGCTCTTCGTGAGGTCGGACTTCTCCAGGTCGGGAAACGGCCAAACGTCCAGTTCGATGATCAGCACCAGCCTGGGTTCTGGGTAAGGAATTCCGGAACCTTTAGGGTTTAGGGTTGAGGATGAGACCAGAAACATACTGTGTGGGGGTTCCTTTAAAGGGTTCCCTAAGGGGTTCTATAAGGGCTACTCTAAGGGTTTAGGGTCTCAAGAACCTACCTTTTTGGAGTTCCTGATTGGGATTTCTTTATATAAGTCCTTAAAAAGGTAGGTGGTTTGGGTTAAGTTTTAATTTAAGTTACCATAACAGGCATCGAACTATAGCAAAATAGCAGGTTTCCAAATTGTGGTATCTTCGGCTAAGTTCCTTATAGAACAAGAACCGAGCAGCTGCGTCCCCAGCGTGAAGGCGCAGCCGATCACAGAGACGGCTGCTAAGTTCATACAGCGCTGGAGCACCTGACAAGAGAGAGTTTAGGGTTTAGGGTTTAGGGTTTAGGGGTTTAGGGGCTATGGGTTTAGGGTTTAGGGTTCAGGAAACACGCCGCAAATCGGATTTCAGGATCCCTCTACACTGTAAATCAAACTAAGGAGATCAGACCTGACAGTGGGATTACGGGGTTAAGCCGCTTCTTGTTTCGCAAATACGCAAGTCCCTTACAAGCGGCTTGCTCCATATTGATCCATATTGCTCACACACTGTAGTCTGTTTCTAGCGGCTAGCGGTTTCTAAAACACTCCAGTACCTTTGGAGCGGTTTGGCCTCTGTTTCTCAAATACCCCAATCCGTTTCGAGCGACTTGCTTCCTGTTTCTCAAACACTTCTGCCCCTTCCGAATGGTTTTCTCCATGTTTCTTAAGTACCCAACAAATTTTCGAGCCTGCAAATTTTGTTACTCACATAATCCAGTCCTTTTCGAGCGGGTTGCGGGTTCTGGGTCTAGGGGTCTAAGGCAAAGAGTGGAACTCTTCTTTGAGGCTCCCTCTCCAGCATGAGGATGTCCTAAACTGCGGTCCCATTCTGTTCCTTTCTGATATATATATATATATACATGTGTATACATATGTATATATATATATATAAACATATATAAAAAATATAATTATATATTTATGTAGGATGTGGCAAAAAGCACGAACCAACCCGCCTGGAGGAGCACCAAGGAGAGAATGACCATCACCAGCAGTCCCATGAGCAGGTAGTTCCTTGGCTGACTTCTGAACCCCTCCAAAAAGTTAAACTTTTAGTCTCCTTATTATAGTTCATATAGAAACCCAAAAAGTTAAAGTCCTAAGAGCCAACCAGAAGAACACCAAGGTTCTGTCTCTCCGCCGTCTGCCAGTCCGGAAAGAGCCTCACCACTCGCCGGGAGCTCAAGTTCCACTGAGGGGGGGGCTTGGAAGCTTTGGCGTTTAGGGTTTAGGGTTTAGGGTTTAGGTTTAGGGTTTAGGGTTTAGGGGTTTAAGGTGTAGGGGCTCAGGGTTTCACTCGTCTGGAGATTTTGCCGATTCCGGGGTTCTTGTGCCAAGGCAGAGGATTTGATAGGTGCTTTCATGAGGCACTCCTGGCAAGCACGCGTGGCGGTTTTGCACCTCCCTGTGATGGTGGACATGTTGGCCCGAAATCGTGTTCTTCCCATCTGCCGAATTCACCGAAACTTTAGGGGTTAGGGTCTAGGGCTTAGGGCTTAGGGCTTTCGCGCTCTCAAACTTGATGGATCGTGCTCCGGCTCCCGCCGCACTCCTGTGCTCATGTTCGCCTTCGCTCGATGTCCCCAAAATCCGCAAACCGCCGCACCATGCGTGGTTGGTGGTCTTGCAACCCGTCCGTTCCAAGGGGCTGGGCAATCATGAAAAATTAAAAGTTGTACTCATGCCAGACTGCCGCATGCATTTGGGGGGGTTCGCATCTTCCCACCGCCGCAGTGCTTTGCATGTCCGACTCCTGAATGGTGCTCCTGTGTCGGCTGCCTCCAAACCTCCTTCTCCCATCACACTCCCTCACGAATGTTGGAATGGAGCATTGTGGCTTTGGCAGCTAGTCACAGAAAACTGTCCTCGAATAGCTATAGCGGTTGGAGAAAACTGTCCTGGATACATTATGCTTTTGGTGGCCCTGAATAAGTGCAGGCTCATTCCTGCTCGTGGTCGGTCGGAGACAACCGCTGCAGAAGCATGTTCAATCGTGCTGGCGGACCAAACTAACTGTCCTAAGGTCTTTGTGGAGGAAAGATAACTGTCCTCACTGGATGCGTGCTCGATCCTGCCTGTGGTCGGTCGGAGAAAACTGTCCTGAGAGTTGTGCGCTCTTGGTGGCTCCTCGAAGAAACTGTTCTGGAATGCTTGTGGTCGGTCGGAGAGAACTGTCCCAGGAAGCTTGTCTGTGTAACGAGTCGCAGACAACTCTTCTGGATAGAAGGGCGTTCGATCTCGCTGTCAGGGAAAACTTACTGTCCTAGGAATTCTGGGGGTCAAAGATAGCTGTCCTAGATGCGCGTTGAATCGTTCTTTTACATCTCCAGTCCTGATGATAGAGCCCTCAGAGACCCTGTAGCACACACTCTCTGTCTGTCTGTCTCTTGCTCTCTAAAACTCTCTCTCTCTCTCTCTCTCTCTCTTGATATATATATATATATATATGTGGATGCATGTGTATATATATATATACACATAC